TACCTCCGACTTTGAGTCCAGTCTTCTTACCGCCAGCTGATGTTCATGCATGCGCGTTTGTAGCTGCCGGCCGGCCGGCAGAGACGTGAACCACGCTGAGCGGTTCAAACTGGATTGGCAGACTACGCACGCGGAAGAAAACAGCGGCAGGAGCCAGATCATTCACTCTCGGAAGATGGGTCGACGAGACAACTATCCAAAACGTCAGATACAAAATAAACCTCATCCAGTGGACGCCCTTGCTCCTTCAGACTTACCACCTGGGAATCGAATTTTCACTCCTATTGCTGCTTACTTGTCTTTTCAGTCATTTCTTTGCGTTTTTGCGTTTTATTTTTCAAGAACGCGGATAACGACCAGTCTCGTTTCGCAGGCCGGTCTGCTATTTCAAGCGATGAGTACTTTGGACGACCGCCTCCAAAATACCAGACTGACTATAATGACGAACTGAATTCCTTGAAAGACGTTGTGAAGGAGGGAGTCACTAAGGTGGCCACACGTCTTTCCTCTCTGGCGTCCGACGTTATGACCACATTCCAGGTGAGCGATTTTTCTCTCTTTCTCCCCTTGGAATGCTCAAAACCCCGAAAGGCTGCCTACAGTGTTTACCTGCGTTTGAATTAGAAAAGAATGTTATGTTGCTGCTGCAGAAATGGCAAAATCCTGCGTTGGTGAATAGACAATTTAGAAAAAAATTGTTTTCCCGGAAGTAAGTTGAACAAGGCAAATATCACGAGATAAGCATGCGCCCACATCTAAGACTAATAGCTTCCACTCTATTTACCTATCAGGTTTCTAGGTCGGCACTTAATTGGGCAGTTAATTTATCGCGAAATTATATGACGTCAATAAAATCCGCTAGTCTTGTGATCTTCGCCTTGTTGGCGCGTAGGTAATTGGGTGCTGATTGTGTTGGTTATGTTTTTTTCATTCTCTAACTGACACGCGGAAAAAGTAAGTGCACTAGTCTTCGTTGCTAGTAGACATATAACCATATCTCCTAAGTAGGATGCACAAAAATCGGATTTCTGTATATTTTATTGGAATATACGCTACTCTTAGATCAATTATTTGGAGGATATTTTGTCCTAACTTAATATAGTCAACTCGAATTATGTGGTATTCTTTTGAGTAAATTTAAGAGGTCACGTTCATTGACACGAACCTCTCACAAACGTCCAGTCTCTAAATTTAACAATCGGAAGGCTCCCATCAGATATTTAATTTGTTCGATTTTGTGTTAAATACAGCCTGGTTTATTGGACCCACTGCGAAAACCAAACCTTATCTAATTGATTTTTTTGATGAAAGTCAAAACGCCACCGTGTATGAACTGGCTTAGGACTAGACTCTACACCCATTGGTTTGGAAAACAAGCCTAGACTGTGATTCCTACCTCGATCTGCATGCTACTCGTGTGTGTGTTTTAGGAGCGTTACGGGTAAATGACTGGCCCTGGCTGCGATGTCTTCCGACTTTGAGTGACTTGAGGCACGGCGATCAACACTCCCGGCCGGAGAACCGATTTCTTTGTTCCTTCCCTTTTACGCTTCCCAGTATACCTTGTAAACTGTTCTGTGATCCTTAACTTGAACCCATCTTCCTTTTTTTCTACTGCATCTCATTTCATGTTTTTCCCCGTGGAAATATCTACATGTTTGCGGTGGGTTTCTGTGTTTTTAAGGGCAACCCCACCTCTGCCCTGCGATACTATTTCGATGTTAGCACTTACCGTCGACCAAGTCAGGTGCAGATACTGTGGTGTTATGAGAAAAAGAACTATGTTGGTGCAGGAGAGCGTTTACATTTCTCTGAAAATATATAACCTTCCTCCGACCTCTGTCCCTGGTAGTAGGAAGCATACATCACCGTGTCAATGTCGATTGTCGTAAGTCATAAACCGCGTAGGTGCAGTTACTTCCCCAGCCTACTCTCTAAGCTGAGGTATTTTTGAGTGGCTTATGCATTTTCGACAGAATGCTCACTGTGAGCGAGATAGTTCAACTAACGTTGTAGCTAACCTGTTTCTGAGCGTTTCTTACAAAGGCTAGGTTTTTAGCATCTCACTTAGCATAGACCACAAACTGATTCCTTTGCGTATTTGCAATCTCGTCCCTTGAAACATGGGAATAGAAATCGCGCAGCTCCAATGCATTCTTATTGATTTTCGATTCAGCAAAGGTAGTTTAAGTAGTGCACCTCATATACCCCTAGTCCCAGCATTTTTCCTACGGAAACGGTGGTTATAGAGGTTAAGGGGGTGGAGGAATAGGATAGGCAACGAAGGAAATTTGTAGAAGTGTAGAGTGGAAAAATGTAGTTGAAAATGTTTCCCGCGGCCGCTGGGAGTAAGTTCTTCCGCATCTTCCGTTCTAATAACTGCAGACTATTAAGTTAAGGTTTCCACATATCTCCTTTGTTTGATTCATAAGTGTGGCGGTTGGGATAATTTTATCAGGATTTTAAGAGACACCGCCGTAGGGTTCACTCTCTGATATATGGCTTACGTCAAAAGATGGTTCTACCAATACCCGGAGCCAGTAGATTACGAATTTAATGTTCATCTTCGATTGCGTATTGTGATGGGACAATTGCTACTTCGGAGACTAGTAAACAAGCTGCGTGAAGCTTCTGGTACGCATTCAAATTGGGCTAGACATTGTTCGTTTATCTCATCGCGAGTGGCACTACCAAAGGAAGTGAAATGCTCGATAGGGTAACTTGCCTCGTTTTCTTTGTCCTACACCGTGAGTGCAGTAGCCATCGGATTGGTCTGCTTTCCCACTGTGACCTATGTCTTCACATAGATACAAGGCAAGTGTAAAAATCCAACCCCACCTCCACGCTGGTGCGCGCCGGAAACTTGCTTTTCCTTGGCTAACGGGGCTCTGGTAGGGGAGCAA